TCTTTGTCGCCTAAACATACTGTGGCTCTTATTTTCCCGATAGTTTTTATATGATGCCCTGTCACGTCGGTGAGGGCCATTAGCTTCTCTCGTATGAGCGTCTCACCCTTTAAGTTTCCTACTTTAATCAAAGTGAGCACCGGTGTCTAGCAAAAGATTTATCCGACCTTTTTTCATTTCTTTTATTGGTAGTGTAACGAGTCGAAGGCCGGTATTAGCGTACTTCCCGGTCACCTGCGAAATTTGATGCTCGTGCGCAGCCTGCGTTCTTCCTTCTCTCCTTTTCTTCTTCGCTGCTACCGTACGACGATTCTTCGCTCTCGCTTTGCTGCTTATTCTGTCTTATCTTTACGGTAGAGTTTACACGCTTCGCCCTGTGATCGGTGTCTCGTTTCGCGCGCTGTTTCAGATCCTTGTCGGGCCGTCCGTTTAAGGACCAGCATTCATTTCTCTTATGTCCCGCTCTTTTGCAATACGTGCAATACTTTTCCGCGAGATTTATGCTTGCTGGTTTTTCGGCTCTGGGCAATGAAAATTTAGTTGCATATCTGCTTGATCGGCAATCTCGCCCCAGATGTCCTATCTTCCCGCATTTGCTGCATTGTACGCCCGTGTTTTTTAAATTTTGATTTTGACCGTTCTTATAGCGCTCATTATAGTTGGCTCGTAGAGTCGGTCCCTTTACTTTTTCTTCCGCGCTCGCGGCATTAATGGCTTCTTGTAAGCTAGTATATTTCTGCGATCGTACCACTAGTTTAATATCCTCTCTTAATCCCAGCTTGAAATTCAATAAGGCTTGGTCTTGGATAGTTTCTAAAATGGCTCGCTTTTGTTCACTTGTATTGTCGCGTTTTTCTATGAGCGATTCGTATAACTCCATTGCCAGAGTATCCACGCGTCGTCCAAACGTGTGAGCACTTTCTCCTGGCTTTTGTTTTAAGGCGTTAAATTCTAATTGTAAATGTGATGTTCCGCGTTTTCCCAAATAGTTGGCTTCTATTTCGCGCCGCAGTTGTTCAAAATCTCTTATACTTCTAGTTTGAAAGTCTAATAGAAGTTTTCCCTTCAATTTTGTATTTAGAATCTCTTCCATCAGAGCTGGTTTGTCCGCGTAATTTATCTTCTCTATTGCGTACGTGCTGGCACTTAAGAATTCCTGCATCTTCTGACGCGAGTGTCCATCTATTTCCGGTATCAAGCTGCGTGCGTCTTTTAGACGTAGATATCCCGTTGGGCGGTGTCGCAGTTCTCGTACGTCATTTATTGTTCGCCCGTACGTTACGTTCAATGTTCTGTGCTGATCGTCGAGTCGTGATATTCGGAAATTTTCGCGATCGTAGTTTGCAATTTCTATTCTACTCATTCTATCTTGCAGTCCTGTAATTGCTTCTAACACTCTGTCTAATATCTGTTCTTGTCTAGATGGAAGGAGTAGGCGCGCGCTTTCGCCTGTGATATTCCGGAGACGACCTATTTCGGCTTCTATCTCCGCGGTTGCTATTGATTGATCGTTCGTGTTCGCGACGTTACCGTTTTCGCGGGAGGTCGACGGTTGATGCGTTGCCATATTTCCTGGTGCGGAGTGAGTGCGTATGCTTTTAAATAAGTTGCTCTCGTATGATATTA